ATATATATATATATATATAAATAAATAAATAACTAAACTGGCTTTGCAAATACAGACTAATCTAGAAGAGCTTATACATCTGGTAGGGTTAGGGTTTGATATTTTATATTCTTAGAAGGATTTGCTTGTTGAAGACTAAGAGAAAATATAAATCTGGACAAAAGCATGGGAACGTATCAGGTTCTTATTCGATTTAATCTAAAGTATGAGTCCCTTTGTTTGAAAGCTGACTAATGTGTATGAGAGGAAGAATAATCAAATAAATATTGTCTAGTTCTTCAACTAATAACAAAGCAGATCTGTTTTAAACAGTGATACATTAAACTTACGGTATTTTACTGTTTAATAACAAAGTGCTTCATGATATAACTGCGACGGCCGGGTTGATGTCATTTAAAACCAGCACACCTCCAAAAAAGCATTACTAAGATGCAATGTTTACATTCGCTGTAAGTCGAGCTCTGCCCGGCTCCACTGTGTGAGAGTAATGCTACTTGACAATCTACTCGGCTCAAAAGTTCCCCTTAACAACAGAGCATTAGTCGACGCAGCCACACAGACCTAGATCTGCCGCGGCCTCATTGGCTGCCGCAGTCACGCGAGACCCGAGTGCGGGGCTGCCTCATCCGCTCCACTGGCTCTTTGACTCCGATAGCCTGTTGGTGCCACAGGGTGCAAACGTCTACAAAGGCAACCAGCGCAGTCGATCCGGAGAAGTTGACGGCTGCAGTGACTTCCGTGTACTATAAAACTCACAATATGAGATAAACTCACAAGCCTCTCTGAAGTTGTGTTGACAACAATCAAAAATGTCACTGTCACGCTGTGTTTTCAAACGATCACAAAGATGAATGGCCAGGAATCACTCCCATTGATGACGACACCTTACGCTGAACCTACTGTAAACTTATCCTGCGTCTGAGTTCATGATTTCCCCCCCCCCTCCTCCCTGAAGGCCAGAATGGCTGCGTTCACTTTTCCCACAATTCACCACTGCATTCTCAGCACAACAGATAACAAAAGAGGTCCCGACAAAGCAGGACTGCGATGGTGTTACCATTCAGGTATTCTGTTCTTTGCGACACGGAGCTTCTTGAACAATAACACCAGAGAAAACAACAGAATGAAAATAGGTTACAGACTTAACATGTGTCACAGCAGACTGTACCTACCGTTCTAGATATGTGAAATGAACCTGTCCTATTGTAATATACAGGAATAATTCTACTTGTTCAATACTGCACACATTTGCAGGAAAACATACTCTATTATTTGTGCACAAAGCAAACAGACTTCTGATACCACAATCATATGCCATATGCCAAAAATATAGAAGTCCTGCAACTATGTCATGAGGCTGCAGATATAGAGTACAATGGTGCACAGATAACATCATAGTAGATTAAATAAAGCTTTTCCATTCTAGGAAGTGGTCTCACTTAAAGATTAGCCGAGTGGGAAAGGCATATGGACAGATATTAATCTTGTGAGCATTGTTAGTCCGAGTCAAACTGTGCTCTTGATCTTTATTCTGTTATATTTTTAGCCAGGGGTACCTAATGACAATCCTTCACATTATGAATGAAGACCCTTCCACATGTAACAGAGCCAGATTAAAAGATAGTTGTAAAGCTATTCCTGTGGAGAGCATGATACCTGACGTGAACAAACGTGAGGATCCCAATCAGTAGTTATTAAGGCACTGATGTTGAAAATATAAATGCGTGAGTAAATTACATGTATTTATGACAGGGGAGCAGGGATTGTGTGCACTTACCGGCATCATATTGGCAGCTGCGGCAGGTTTAAAACCAGGGGTTCATCGGCAAGTTGACTGACGGCTCACCCGCTTATCCTCAATGGCACCACCGCAGCCACCCAAGTCCCACCTTTGCTATTTCTGGGCTCTGGTTTACTCCAATGTGACAACCGACTGGGCCTCAGTCCTCTCTGTGAAACCAAAACATTGGAGTTATTTTCAGTGCTGTACAACTGAACATTGACAGGTGAAATAACACCTAATGGTATCAGCCTCAAACAGGGATTTAAAGGGCCCAGGCGTGGCTCTGTGCAGCTGCTGCTACAAACAAGCGATGGTTAGCCAGGCAGCTAGCTTCGGAAAGCAACGCTGAAGCGACTCGTAACAAATTGCATTAAGTTATTTGATATTACGAAGTCATAACACATGGATTATACTCACAAATGTCAGAGACAATTCATTGTTTCGCGGAGTAAATCAGAGCTACGTTAGCCAGCTGTCAGCCAGCCAGCTAACGAGATCTCTACTACGGTGTTAGCTGTTAGCTGGTCTCACAGGCGGCTAAAGGACCGTGTGCAAGGCAATTTATCCGCTTTCGTCGGTCCTTTAGCTTGCATTGGACTGCACATCGGGCAGGAGCTATATCGACGGAGAGTGTTTTAAGCAGACAACAATTAACAAAACGTATATCCGAACAGGCTACCTCGTTTTTATACGAAAGCAATTGGTCATAGTTAGCAGGCTAGCAGCGCTAGTTTGACGAAAAATACAAATAGCTGGAATCCAGTTGTTGACGACGGGAGGGGCGGGGCTTCACCGCAGCAGCGAGAGAGCGTCACGTCGACGTAAAAAAAATAAATATATATAAACATAATAAAATGTACAATAGAATATAAAATAAAGTGCACAAACGAACAGATAACAGTACTATAAACAAGTGAGATGTAAGTGTAATATAAAAGTGTCACGTGTATTCAAATAAGAAACATAGAAGGGAATGACGTAGAATGTCAAGAATCTAACGACAACCGTCAGGGTCCCAGGTTGTGATTTCAGGTTTCTCCAACTGACAACTATTTCTCCAAAATCAAACAGAATACTCCTTATATTATACATAATCTAGCATCTATCTATCTAGACGTTGTTGACGGGTCCGTCATGATGTGCTGTTAGCGTTATTGCAATGACTTTTGTTTCACGTTTTTTATATTTTTTGCTCCTAGGTTGCATATTCCTATATTGATTTTTCCTTTTGTCAACAATGGTTGATTGGACATTTAATGAACAACCTGTTAATTCAATATTTTATCTCAGACTTCTTAATGACATGCCAACAAGTTGCGCTTTCGCTCTAGATGAGTGAGATAGAAAAACATCTGGTCTAAGAGATGATGTCATCTGTATGACAGCTTCTTCCAGACTCTGACATTGTGATGACAGACGTGATAGTTTTGGACAACTTCTTCATCATTTTTTGACAAATTCATGATGACACGAGTCTTTGAATATATATATTGTTTCAATCTCAGTACTAACACACAATGACAACAGAGATAACCTTTTAGGAACAATACAGATCTGTATATCTTTATGTACTACAATAGGATTGTTTTTTTTTAATCGTTCCTGCTTCATCATTTTTAAATAAGTAATAAAAAAAGAGTCACAGCTTGTGAAGCCCATTGGTGCATGTTTACTCTTCATAAAACAAAAAATAAGTGACACTAGGGACATCCAGTGGCTCACAGAAAGAACTGACACGGTTATTAAAACCAGCAATGCATCTTGAATCCCTGTTAATTGGATATTTTTTAAATTTTGTCATATATTTTGAGAACAAAACAAAAACCTGCCAACAATCCCTTTGGAGATCTATGCACCCACTGGCAACTAACATGCTATCAAAAGCACTAATGGGATATTGAGCAATAATAAGAGTAAATACTGAAACTGAAGAAACCCTTTGAGTCATTGTTTTCTGAATTGAGGCCCATTAGGACCTCCAGTATTCTCATGGTAATCTAATGTTTTTTTTGTGTTCTCATAATGAAGTCTGTGTTCTCCTTCCAAACAGTGTTGTTCAGACATTTGTGTAGTTGCTGGCAGAGAAACAAAGACGTACATTGGCACCCTTTGTCTCCTGTGATTATTAAAGTAATCATTATTATTGAAACCCAGAAGACATTGTCAGAGATGATCCCATTATTTGGAGCTTTTATTAAAATCAAATATACAATTATATTAATATTTAAGACAAATTGTACCCCCAGAGCATCAGCTGTGAAACAAATACTGTACATCCAAGGCATAAGCAGCTGTTTTAATTCATCCACTTCATATACACAAACAGACGTGTAAAAATAAACAAAAATGATTGTGCATCCCGATAAATACTGACTTTATATTGTAAAAACTACAAATACAATTATTTCCCAACTGTATCAATATACAGTATGTGTTTTCAAGTTAGTCTTCAAGGTTTGAATTTAAATAAACAATATATACTAAAAGCTGTAATTATCTTTTCATTGCACAACATTATATTTGATAAGACTATAGGATCCATTATTAAAATAGATTATTTGAAACATTTTACAGTTTCCACTTATAAAACAGAGCCTTTTTTCCACTTTTCCCCACAAATGAGTCATCAGATAGAGTGGATGCATAAACATTATTATAACTCATTCACATAAAAATGTCAGGTAGTGAACTGATTTAAAATTGCACTCGGTGAAGCGGGATGACCCGTCAATATGAAAGAAGACTCTTCATCATTTCACCTTGCCACGAGTCTTCAACTGAGAAAGAACTTTGTCGACCTGCAACAGAGCAAAACAATGAACTTGTGCAGTATTCTCAATAGTGTAATAATGATTAAAAATAAATTAGGTTTATACATAAATGTATAACATGTGTGCAGGGAGGCTGGAGGAGGCCAGCAAAACAATAACTTGACTTTTGAATGGGTCAATCATAACATCATTCATGTATAGTAACAACTTTGATTATAAAATGGAATCAAAATAACAATAATTATACAAATGTATGTCGCCACAGACACATAATTTGTTATACTGGTAATACTACCTGTGAGAAATTAAAATCTAATTTACGTTTAAATACATTCACAATTTGAAGACAACAAAGACATTTTATTATTTGTACTGAGGATATGACTCACTGTGATGAACCAGTGACTCTGGGGCCCGTATCGTAGCTGCGACTTGAAGCTCATCTCGCTGGCTGGAGCCAGAGCGTGGAGGTGGAGGTGGGGAACCGATGAGAACGGAGGCAGGTGAAACCCCATCCTGCACAGAGTCAACGCGGGTTTGAACATGCCATGAAAAACAAATTAAATAATTTAGAACAAAATCTAAAATACCTGACGTCATCCAGGTTGCTGACTTTAGTCTTCTTCAGTACACTCCATCCCATTTCAACCATCCGCTCCACTATCAACAAACAAATCACATCAATAGGGTCCCGTCATACATAGCATATTTACTATGTAAAATGATCACTCATCTCATTCAAGGGACGGTGTCTCAGGTACACCTTTGTTTTCCAATAAGCTTTAGGTGACATGGAGCAAAATAATATAATAGTAAGTAGGTAGTCCCATCCACAGTTTCAGTGTGTTTGGAGAAGAGTGCATACAAGTTCAGGTTATTCCTGTTCCACTGGACAGTTTCCTGTAATCACAGAGGATGGTTTTTGATGTCACTGTGATGTAATACAGCCTAGTATGACCTGTGGCACTGTTTCAAACAATGTGTGCAACATCTGTGTCTATTGAACTACGAACAAACTGTCAAAGGTAAACATGTAAGTCACCCAGAGGTATGTCGTCCCCCTGGAGACATTTGCAGTTGTCGATATGCGTCCTGGGAACAACGAGGTAATGATGTGTGGCGCTGGGCTGGATGTCACGAAAACAGAGCAGCTCTTCATCCTGTACAGAGAGAGACAGAGGAAGAGTTTCCTGTTGTTGAACTTCTAACACGTGAATGAACAGTCGGTACTTACGCTCAGCAGGATTTCCGTGTCAGTGTGGTTGTCCGCTATTTGGCAGAAAGGACAGTCTTCGCTGTCAGAAGCGTCCTGAGTCGCCATTTGTGTTTAAAGGTGTGTGAGATCATCTGTATGGTTGGTACAGTCTGGGCGTGTCTGCGGCCAGGACAACTAGCCGCTAACAGAGCTGATCGATCGGTCCACTCATGGGAACCCCGTCAATTCTCATGTCACTTCACTAAACTCCTGAATATGACTTGACAGACATCACATCAAGGAACCCATGTTAACATATCTTCTCTTTATACACCCATAATTCATATGAAAACCTAAAATGGTTATTTAAAGGATTTTGTTTTGGGAAAGAGCTTATTCACTTTCGAGTCAAAAAACAAATAGCCCCACTTCCTTAAAATTGCAACATGTTGTTTTCACACTTTTTCTAGGGATTAAAACAGATATTGTGTTAATTAGTGGGCTTTAGAGGTGCTGGTAGGTGGATTCAGACAGAGCCAGGCTATAGCTGTTTCCCCATTCCCTGTCTTTATGCTAAACTAAGCTAACTGACTCCAGCTTTAACCATATTGAATGGATACATTTAAGGTATCAATCTCCTCAATTAACTCTCGGCAGCAAAATTAATGTATTTGTAAAAGTGTATTTCCCAAAATATTGAACTTTTTATTTAAACTCACCTTTAATGATACATCTAATAACAATGAAGTCAGCTTTTTTTTAAAGGATATAAACGGACGATTAGGGCATTAAATACATGCTTGTTATCAACTCTTGATGCCTGTCACGTAAACTAGAGACACTATATTTATTATTTCAGTTGTTATGTGTCCGTACATGCTACATATTCTTAAAGAAATGTGTTTTGTCAAATGATCACTAACTGATGCACAAAAAACATGGAGGCAGGTGATATTCCAGTGCAGGTTTTTTTTTTAAAGAGTGTTACATGACTGTAGTTTAATTTCAGAAACTGAGTGGAAGAAGTGTTTCAGTACTCTCCGGGATATACAAAATTCAGCAAAATAAATAATTTAATTTTAAGAAATATCACAACAAACTCATATATATACAAAACTATGGTGTTCAATGGTGTCAATCCATGTTTTCATGTATCAATGACTATAAAAGTGCAATTAATTTCACAATTTGTCAGTTAAGACAAAGTGCATTTAGTGTTTAGAAGTGCATACTGTTTGCTGCACATACAGACATCCAGTGTGTGTCTGTGTGTCAGTTGTCTACAGTGACATCTCAATGCTACGGCTTTCCTTTCAAAACTAATTCATTTATCTGCCTCGTTGTCTCATTTGTTGTAACAGTTTCCAGATAATGTTCTTTCCAGACGACAGCATATAACGTTGTCATCGCTGTAGTGTCTCATAGTGGTAAACACAAAGCATCTTGGACTGGTGGAGCATTATCCTTTAGATGCTTCTGCAGACATTGTTCCTGTACAGAGAAAAACATTCATTTGGATAAAGTCACTGTATGTGTTTCAGTGACTACATTTACATCTGATGTTTGGATATTTGTTTGATCAAGTAGTTTATGAAAGAAACAAGAAAAAGCAGAATAAGTGCAAATTTCTAGATCACTGTATAATTGCACAGCCATTGCATGGATAACACTGTAATATTATTAGAGAATAAGTAAAATAGAGAGCAAGAACAGTAGCCTTTCTAGTCCTCGACACTCACAGTAACAAACCTGTTAGACCTTAGAATAAACTTATACTCCATGTCCTTGTAGATTTGGCTGGCGGGGGCGAGGACATGGAGGTGGAGGTGATCAACTGAAGTGTAGGGAGGTTGGTGGAACCCCAGGCTGTGCAGGAAAACACATCAATGTAATGTGCGCACACTGACAAGTGTTTCCATAGCGGAATGCAACACCTCAGCAAATAACAACCTTTGATTTTTGACTGAGTGTGTTCCCACCTATCGTTCCATTTTAAGCTACAACTGTATAGTTAGTTTTAAGCTTAAAGGAGCACATTTCAAACAATTATACTTTTTTTTATTACTTATCGCAAAAGTTCAACATTTTAGGAGATACACTTTTCGTTTTCTGGTGGAAGTCTTGTCGAACTAGTCCTTTGAACTTTATGTTCATTAGAGGTTAAACACACACACAATACCTGTCTTCATACCGTATGTCCTTCATATCAGTGATCCCTTGGTCGTGTAGTACAGCTTTCCCCATTTCAGCCATCCTTTCAACTGTTGGATACGAGACTCAGTTATTTCTTTGCAAAGATCTGACTAGATAAAACTTATAGCTTATATACTACCGTATCAAACTGAAGCAGTTGAAGGAGAAACATTTATAGGGGTGCTATTGTAAATGTAGATGTGTATTAGTATATGTCAAAGTAGCAGTAGTATTGTTGTAGAAGTACGTAGTTTCAGCAGCAGTGCTAGCTATAGTTCTAGTAGTATACTGTAAGTAGTAATAAAAATAGAAAGTTTGCAGTACTTATACTAGTTTGTAGTGATCCACTGTAACTGACCGAGGTGAATGTGTCTGCTTTGCAGTGACAAGCAGCTCTGTATGTGCTGTTTGGGCACAACCAGGTAATGGTGAGGAGCAGCAGGGACAATGTCTCTAAAACACACCAGCTCCCTGTTCTGTTGGAGAGGATGGAAAGAGACAAAACACACGAGTTAACCTACCTGTGAATGTAGTGCTGTTGAAACGTGTGTATTCAGTGTGTAACTGTTGTGTGTGTGTGTGTGTGTGCACACAGTAGGAACTAGTAGGTGAAATGCCCATGTACCCATGCAATTCCTCTTTCACTGGAATAAAGTTGCCACTGGGAGAGAGAGTGTAACCCACCTGTTCTCTTTCTAATAATAATAATCACTATAATACTATTGCATTTGGCTTGTCCAGCAGTCTGCCAAAATATGTAACCCTCTCTATGATGCAGTCTCTGCTCCACCATCAAGTATTTTATTTGTATTCAGATCATGCCTAATCATATGTTTCTAGCAAATGTCAGTTATATACAGTATTTTTGTCACATAAACGTATCCTCTCCCCTCTCTATAAAGTCTCTACAATCAAATATTTTATTTTCCTCCCTCCTGCTATGTTATTTCATGTGCAATAAGTTAAGCTTATTTAACCCACATAGTGTCCGATACAAAAGTGTAATAGTCTACCGCATAGTTGAGCTTATACCGGCTATGGTGAGCTTTACCCGTTTGGCTACTTCGTTTTTGTTTTTAAAGGATCTTACCTCTTTGATAACTTCCGTTTCTTTGTCTTGATCGTGGGCTATCAGACAGAAAATACAAGTTTTAACAGTTTCAGTACTTGAACCGGAGTGGAGTTTCGCCATATTTAGGATATATAGTATTGAAATGTCAGTAATTTCCTCCTCGACTCGCTGTTTGTCATTTATACGCATAAACGTCCCGAAGATCGTCTATTTTTGCGAAGATCCTCACACGAAACACTGCAGGAACCATGACTGTATATACGAACAATCTTTTACTGGCATTTCAACAAGAAACGAACACAACTTAAAGGATATTATAGAGGAATCCATGTAATCCATTGTTACCTTTTAATAAATGGCAAACTTCTTGTTTGTGATCTTAACTATGACAGTAAGTAGTTAATAGCCTGTATACTGACCTGTAGGGCGACAACAGCTTAATTAAACATTCAAAATGAAGCAAACACGGCTTAGAGGGTCAGTTCACATAAACTGTCTGTCGAGCGAGGGAAGTGTAAGTTAAATACTGAGATTTTAAGAAAAACTCGGTTTTGTGACTTGAGCCCACACCATTGCCTACTACATACAGTGGGTACGGAAAGTATTCAGACCCCTTTAAATGTTTCACTTTGTTTCATTGCAGCCATTTGCTAAAATCAAAAAAGTTAATTTTATTTCTCATTAATGTACACTCAGCACCCCATCTTGACAGAAAAAAAACAGAAATGTAGAAATTTTTGCAAATTTATTAAAAAAGAAAAACTGAAATATCACATGGTCATAAGTATTCAGACCCTTTGCTCAGTATTGAGTAGAAGCACCCTTTTGAGCTAGTACAGCCATGAGTCTTCTTGGGAATGATGCAACAAGTATTTCACACCTGGATTTAGGGATCCTCTGCTATTCTTCCTTGCAGATCCTCTCCAGTTCCGTCAGGTTGGATGGTGAACGTTGGTGGACAGCCATTTTCAGGTCTCTCCAGAGATGCTCAATTGGGTTTAGGTCAGGGCTCTGGCTGGGCCAGTCAAGAATGGTCACAGAGTTGTTCCGAAGCCACTCCTTTGTTATTTTAGCTGTGTGCTTAGGGTCATTGTCTTGTTGGAAGGTGAACCTTCGGCCCAGTCTGAGGTCCAGAGCACTCTGGAAGAGGTTTTCTTCCAGGATATCTCTGTACTTGGCCGCATTCATCTTTCCTTCAATTGCAACCAGTCATCCTGTCCCTGCAGCTGAAAAACACCCCCATAGCATGATGCTGCCACCACCATGTTTCACTGTTGGGATTGTATTGGGCTGGTGATGAGCAGTGCCTGGTTTTCTCCACACATACCGCTTAGAATTAACGCCAAAAAGTTGAATCTTGGTCTCATCAGACCAGAGAATCTTATTTCTCATAGTCTGGGAGTCCTTCATGTGTTTTTTGGCAAACTCTATGCGGGCTTTCATATGTCTTGCACTGAGGAGAGGCTTCCGTCGGGCCACTCTGCCATAAAGCCCCGACTGGTGGAGGGCTGCAGTGATAGTTGACTTTGTGGAACTTTCTCCCATCTCCCTACTGCATCTCTGGAGCTCAGCCACAGTGATCTTTGGGTTCTTCTTTACCTCTCTCACCAAGGCTCTTCTTCCACGATTGCTCAGTTTGGCTGGACGGCCAGGTCTAGGAAGAGTTCTGGTCGTCCCAAACTTCTTCCATTTAAGGATTATGGAGGCCACTGTGCTCTTAGGAACCTTGAGTGCTGCAGAAATTCTTTTGTAACCTTGGCCAGATCTGTGCCTTGCCACAATTCTGTTTCTGAGCTCCTTGGGCAGTTCCTTCGTCCTCATGATTCTCATTTGCTCTGACATGCACTGTGAGCTGTAAGGTCTTATATAGACAGGTGTGTGCCTTTCCTAATCAAGTCCAATCAGTTTAATTAAACACAGCTGGACTCCAATGAAGGAGTAGAACCATCTCAAGGAGGATCAGAAGAAATGGACAGCATGTGAGTTAAATATGAGTGTCACAGCAAAGGGTCTGAATACTTATGACCATGTGATATTTCAGTGTTTCTTTTTTAATAAATTTGCAAAAATTTCTACATTTCTGTTTTTTTCTGTCAAGATGGGGTGCTGAGTGTACATTAATGAGAAATAAAATGAACTTTTGATTTTAGCAAATGGCTGCAATGAAACAAAGAGTGAAACATTTAAAGGGGTCTGAATACTTTCCGTACCCACTGTACATGGTCCACTGTCAACAAGTTTAGATATGTACTATAACGATACACATCGATATATAATCAGTTAAAAATACATTTAGATTCAATATGGATATACATTTAAGGTCTAACAAATTTAAACTGCAGTGCCCGAAAACAGAGGGGGAGTGAAACCTCTTTCTTCATCCTCACTGCATCTTTTCAGCTTTATTATTTCCTGTTATCAGGTGTCTTACTGGAAGTTGATTACAGTAGATTCCAGTCTACCTTCACTTGTCCTACAATAATAACATGCCAGCATTTGGTCACCGGTAATATTCAATACAAATCATTTATATGAATATTTTTAGGAGATTAAATCACACTGAAGGGCAAAAAAACTAAATGAACATGTTGATACAAATTTGACAAACACAACCCATTATCATATATGTATATATTTAACATTTATTTAAGTTTAAATGTGTTTGCTATAACAACACAATAAATAGATCCTTAGTGATAACAGCAGTTTTGGATTCACAAGAAATAATACTCAGGGAGCCTTCACAGTTACAACACAAGACAACAAAGCTCATTTTCACATGAAGCGACAACTGGTATTAGTGAATAGTATGGCAGGTATCATAACAGTGGTGTCACACATGCAGTCTTGCAGTATCACATATTCATGCACTACAAGCCTGTATCAGATACACAAGATATAAATGAAAATGTCTTTTCCGTGTTAGTAGAACTTTTAGTTAGTGGCATACCAGAGTGCTAAAAACAAACCGTCCATTTCACACCCATTTTAAAGTAAAGCAGAGGCTGACATGTGGTTGGACAGGAAGCCTCCCTCCTGTAGTGGTGATCAAATAACATTCAGTAACAATTTTACAAGGAAGCGATGCTTCATTACACTGGTCCACAACACAGCATTGACTGTCGATTAATCCTGGAGTGCAACGTGATGTCATGTTAAACCTCGACCGGCTCTCTGAACGATTAGAGATGAAAATAAAGAGAGATAAAAATCAGTCGACGTGAGATATGAATTCAATACTGACAAACAGTCATCAACAGTGCTTATTGGGTCCAAATCAGAAACCTTTAACACAACATTGCTATAAAAGTACAACTATTAAAAAAATAAACACAACTGAGCATTCTTTGTAAAAAAAAAAAAAACAATGTAAAAATAAAAAATAAAATAAAATATTGTATAAAATATAATGAGCTCACAACAACTGTGGAATTCAAATACAACACATTTGGTCATTGCAAACCTGGCTTTACTAGTTGTTTTAGATTATACGGGGGAATTAAAACATGAAGCGTTGTTGTGAGGAAATGCAATGGGACGTTCTCATTCAGGTCATCTAAAACTCGAAAATAAGAGAACAAGACGGACCTCAGAGGAAGTGCAAGACCTCCATTGTAAACAATTACAACATTTCCCTCTCTGAAAGCTTATGTAATCTCCCTGAAAAACTCCACTCCCTTTAAGTTTGAAATGCATTGGATCGTAACAAAAAAAAAAAAAAAAAAAAAAAAAAAAAAAAGAAATATATATATATAAGATTCTAAACTTCACTTCAGCACATAACCCTATACATTCCCACAGATACTAATTACATCATTATTTCTGCACAAATTAACCAAATGCATTATGGGATACCTTGTTCTTTCATCCAGACTTAAAATCTTTTCGGGATAACCTCAGCAGTAACATCAGCAGCCTTCTTCTTCTTCTTCTTCTTCGTCTTCTTCGTCTTCTTCTTCTTCTTCTTCTTCTTCTTCTTCGTCTTCTTCGTCTTCTTCTTCTTCTCTCTCTCTCCTCATGAGCTAATGGCAGTCTGCATGCTGGGAAAGCTGGAGGCATTGACGGATGTCTAAGGCAGCTAATGAACTGAGAGACACCACATTTTCTCACACTTCCACCTTTGAAGGACGGAGGGCCCAGACATGAACTAGGCCAACCTACCTGTAGACCAAACCCACCTCAAAACAGTACTTTCCAGTCAATGTAACAACCGCACTCGCTTCTCTCGCGGAACATTTAGCGTCAATGTGGGACAGCTAGGTTCGCCTCCAAGCGGTGCGTAATAGACTTGGGGTTGTTTGAAGCTGGGAGTGAATACAGGAGTAGCTGGGGAGCAGGTGAGGCTACTCAAAGGTCCAGACCTCCACACTGTGGATGTTGAAGTCTTGCTGGACGGAGAGTGGCTGGTTGTTGAAGGTGGCGCATTTGGTGGTGGTTCCTCGGTACAGCTCGGCGTCCAGCCACAGACCCAGCTGACCACTGCAGATGAGAGAGGGCAGAGGGAAAACAGGTGGACATTATCTAATGGCAAACCCTTTGTTTAGATTGCACATTTGTGAAACGCATTAGCTTGTAGTTTGCAGTGCAGCTGGTAGTACCTACCCTCCTCCTCCCATCTGAAGAGAATCAGTATTGCCCTTCACAAAGTAAGAATTCTCCCCCGTCCAGCGGTACACCTAAAAATCGAGAGCAAACAATGTTTGATATTGCCATTGGTGGAGTAGAAATAGGTACCCGAAGTGAGTTCTTAAACTAACTCGATACAAACCTTGATCTCAGGACAGAAGCTGTAGAGGAATGTCTCTCCGGTGCCGTAGCAGTGTTCGCTCACTCTGAAGGGGTGAGTCGAGAAAGCCCCAAATATCTGTGACAAGAGTCAGATTCAGTTCCAGGATGAAAAATACTTGGAAAGAATTACCATGAACCATATCTACCTGGTTATCCATATCTTTGACGACCAGCAGCACGGGACTGTCCACGTCTGCCAGGCTCCTGTACAGAGTCTTCAGGCTGGTCCCATGTTTCACAGTGCTGTAGGCCAGTCTCCAGGAGTAAATCTGCACACGGGCCGGCAAGCGACTGGCAAGCTGGAGGGCGAACACATCATCAGAGTATAAGGCTTACAGATCAGTACGTTGCACGTTTCTTCCTCAAAGTTTTCTCGTCAGTAACTGAATTTTTCATGTGGTTAGCAGCCAGAAACAAGCAACTGGTTAAATAAAAAATGACCTTCTCAATGTGCGTGTCCTGCAGCAGCAGATCACTGGTATCTCTGAGTATGGGCAGCGCATCCAGGGACAATTCTCCGTCACAGCTGCTGAAACTCTGCCTACGCTTGGCCTCATCAATGGTGATGATCTTGGAGCAAAACAAGTGTATGAGCAAGTCAACTTTAAGAGAAATCAATGATACATAGACAAAACAAGCATAAATGAAGCTCATTTCAACACGTCAAAGAGTTAAAAAAACATGGCATTATTGTTTATGACTGGAATAGAAGTGTCAGCAAACGCACTGTTACAGTGTTTATCGTGTGATGTAAATAGAGGGGAGCACGCCGCGCTGCCTTCCTTTTTCTGCTGAGCTTACCTCCCAGCTGCAAGACGCAGGGTCACTGAAGAAGTTGTCAATCATGTCCAGCTCATCTTTCTCCACCACAACAAAGCCCTGCTCTCGAGCCTCCTTCCCGTACACATCCGGGGACCACTGGACGAAAAATGCATACAGGTGGTCCACCCTGGAGCATACACACACACAAACATTGGATTGGTGAAAAGCCGATTGTTAGCTTACACTAATTGTAATTCAAAAGAAGGCTCGAGTATCATCCATCATCGTCTCACCTTTCTTGTGGCACCGCAAACCAGTACTCGGGCTGTTTCCCCCGACCCCCGAATGAGTGGGCAGGACTTAAGGTCCTCCCGGTGGCAAAGGACTTCCTCATTGGCTTCCCCACTTTGAAGCACAGGAACATAGGTGGTTTTTTACTCTTCTCCTCTGATGAGTAAAGCATGTCTATAGAGAAAAGGAGCATTTTAAAATTGAGTTTGATTAGTTGAATGCTACACTCCTAATTATGAGTTTCATTTTCGGTTTGTAATTCCTACCTTCTATTGGAGCCTGTATCCTCTCCAGCAGCCATGACTTCACTTCTGCCTCATAGCTTTTCTTCCGTCTCTCCTCCTCACTGACTTCAGCCCCACCTGCCGGTCTGTCTGGGCTATGTTTCTTTGGATTCGAGTCCCCACGAATCTCAGAAACCTCCTTCAGACTAAATTTCCTGTTTTGGACGACAGGTGCGCTGATTATTTCACCGTGTGCACCATTCAGCAGCTCTTCGGTCCCTTTAGGTTTCATATCTTTGGTTTCTTCTTGGTTTGTAGGGTTATCACGCGAGCTACCCTGTTTTTCAGTCTCTGAAGAGAATTGTATTGACTCGCCGTTCTCAATGGAGCTGTTCTGAGCTACGCCCTCATCCTCTTCATCATCAAGCTTCACTGTAGTTTGAGAAAGAATCGTCGTGTCCTGAAAGTCTCCCCGGCCTGGGCGGCTTGGTCCTAGTTCCGGTTGGTCCCTGCTGACGATGGAGGACGTCCCCTCGGCCTCTTCAGTGCTACCGTTGACAGTTGGCTCCAACTCTGTGAATCCTTCATCTGACGGAGACTTCTCTGTCTGCTCGCCTTCTGTGCTCGCTGGTATAAAGAAAATTAAACAGTTCTTTGTTGAACATCAAAAAATGTTGTCAAGACATTTTCATCATCAATCAAGCTGCAGATTTGGTTTCCAAAAAAACAATCACATCTGAGAAGCTGGAAATGTTTTGGCTTGTTGAAGAATAATCCTCGAAATAAAAAAGAAACAAACAAATTTGGATGCTCAAGAGTCAACGATACAGAAATATTTGGTCACTCACTGAGCTGAATTTGAAAATTCACGAGATACATTCATTCATAAAAATAAAAAAACAAAACAAATTGCTGTTGTGGAGAGTGAAAAAACGTAGATGTAAAAAGTCATAACCCAGAGTAAAAATAAACTTTGACTCCCTACAGCCAACTACAGTCGAGATAACACATGATTACCAGTTTCTAAGAGCGTTGATTCGATGTCATCCAACACGATTGGTCGCTTCGGAACAAGAGCTTCATAGCGGCTGAAGGGGTTTAGATCTCGCTCTGATGGCAGTTGCTCCCACTCGCCGGGCCTGTACACAGGACATAAATCCTGGGGTAGGTCTCTGTGGGGTCACGGGGCATCACACAAACCGCACCGCAAACCAGGATGAAAATGAAAAACAAAAGAAAACAAAAAGTCCAAACTGAAATTATAAATGACCAGAATGATACAAAGCAAAATGACTCACGTGATGAAAAACAAAGCAAAATAAAAGTATTAATGAGGAACAAATCAAAAATATTAAAATGGCAAAATTACAAAACTGGAGATTTTAAACTAGACCAGATCCAGCGGAAACAAAGGTACTTCATAAAAACAGAGATGTGTTAAAGAGTGAAATGTTAAATCTGTGAATCTAAAAGGGCTTTGTACAGTTTCATTCTTGAGAAGAACAAGAAAAATAGAAACTGGAAGGAGGAACAAGAAAGACTGGAAGAGGAACCGCTACTAAAGAGGGAAACGAGGACAGCGAGACGGTTTCAGAGCTCTTACGATGGCAGAGCGTCTTTGAGCTTCATGCGCGACACGTCGTCATACAGCGCCACAGAGACGACCTCCTCCATGGGGCAGATCAGGCCGTACTCCTCGCAGCCGTGCTCGATCACCAGGGGGTCCGACTTGTGGGGGTCGAACATGATGTTGTTGGGGGTCACGATCAGCACGCCTCCCACCACTCCCTGCAACAATGAAGTAATGCATCAAATTACCAGAGTAATTTAGGAAATTAAATGTTCCAGCATTCATTTTCTAGGCTTCCTACCATGCCATCGGTGAAATATTTGCAGCTCATCTTGATGAACTTAACCGTTGCCGGGCTCTCGTCCTCAGAGTTTGGGGAGAGCTCACGCCGGAGGGACTTTGTTGACATGCAGTTTAACGTGCCGTCCTGAAGGAAGGTAAAAGGACAGATCAGAGACCTGAATGTCATGCCTATTATTGAAGAGTCTTATCACCGTGTGGTTTCAGCTCTCAGCAGCCTTTTAGGCCACCAGATCATGTTATATTTATTACTCACTTTTCAAAAGTGCCCGAAAGTAGCTTTTTCCACTCGACTATTAAATGCTGGATGATGAAATTACTGCACTTAACGTTTAAAAACTGCCCACTCGTACCACAGATTGAATTTGTTATCCATCACGGAGGGTATCAGAAATTACATTACGAGGATAAGAAAACATTTTGTCGCATCTCTGAGCCATAATAATTCGTTTTTACAACATAAAAAAAAGCAGCCATTGTAGACGGACAATTTTGGACAAAGCTTGAAAACGCACAAAGAAAAGTATAGATTATAAAGAGTATAATCAATAGAATTACACCAAATAAAGATCAAAAGTGGATTTTTTGTAAAGGCATTTTTGCCCTTTGTGAAGAGTTTCATAGTCAAGATTCAGACAGAAATCATAAGAGACTGAGAGGGGATGTCGTTTCATGTGCCTTTTTACAACTTTTTTTTTTTTTTTTTAGAAAAATGTCCCTAAATTGCTACTGTAAACTACTGCATAATGCCAGTTACTCTAAGCAACATATCACTCTTTACTTACATGTGATGCTTTCTCCAATAGGCCATTTGTGAAGCAGGGATCAGAGGAACTCTGAGACTTTAGCTCAGCTTCTGCCTGGCTCACATCAGGGACGAACAGCTTCTGTAACAACGATGATGGAGAGCTAACGGTGAGACAGTCGGGAGGAATAATCGAGCAGTGGTCGGTGTTACTGCCGAGGTTCTCACCTGACCGGGGTAGACACTGCGAGAGAACAGCTTGTTCAGCTGGACCAGTTTGTTTGGGGTGACGTTGTACTTCAGTGCGATGCTGGTGAGGGAGTGATCGGGCCCCACCTGTAACAAGAGATGAACTCATTTCAACCTTTCTGCTGATAAGTCAGTATGTTATTTAAATGTATTTTCACTGTCGTTTTACTCACAATGAACTCCACTGTCCCCGGTGGTCTCTTCTTCTCCCTCTTGGTCTGATTGATACTTTTGCAGCCATCGTCTAGAAGGGAAACAGAAAATGAGATGCAGACTGAGCAAAACTCCAAACAGAGAATGATCTCACATGGAGAAAACAACAACAATCTAGTAAGAGAGTCTACGGTCCTTCTCACACGTTCTAGGTTGCTAACAGATACACTTTCCAAATAAACATAAAAATGAAAACGGCATCCATTGAGGGCAGTAAAAAGAAATGTTTCTCTCTAAATATCCTGTGCTTAATTGCCTTTTGAGTCAGTACCAGTGACGGTTTGTCCCCTGTCATTATCCAGCCTTAAAACACTGCCCCACACATGCTGAAGCAGTTATCAAAAACACACACTGACCCTTGTAGTAGACAAGGTCCACAGTCAGCATTTTCTTCTTGCCAAGAACACAGAAGCTATTAGGGTACCACTCCCTGAATACTAAATTACACTGCTGCCTCTTCAGGGAAAGAGGGCATGACTAAGCATTAGACAGACAGATTCTCGCTGCTGTGTACTGGACCGAGCATTAGAGACAAGACTGCTGACACTACTGCTTATTCACTTCATTTACACTGTGACTGGTAATATTCTAGCATGCATTGCAGTCTATGGACTTGCAGCTGAAAGCGTATATAACCTGAAGAGTTATGTTTTGTTTTTTTTGTCTGTTACACTGCAGGGAATCATATTTGATTTGATGGGCTGCAGGTAACAATATTGTGGTCTTATTAAAATAAGATTAATTATTAAACATATTGCAGAGTTTACACAGCTGGCTGACCCGCTGCATGCATGACTATAGTCAATTATTACAGTGTATATGAAGGGGGTTGGGGATGATTTGCGCTGCAAACAAACCCAGAAGCACATGACAGAATGATGTATAATGTAGTGTACACTGAATGCAGGTTAGATTAGGTTTATTGCTGTGCAAATATGAAGCTATAGATGACCTGAACTCTAGCTCACTGATCCATCACAAATAATTGATTTTAGTCACTTAATTCAATAGTCTACTGATTTAAAAAAAAGTCGAGATCAAATTATTATGATTTGTCTACTTCAGCAATATTCTACTTTCTTTGACAAAATCCTCAAAAACCTTAAAAAATAATTTTCTTTCACATCTAAGAGTCACAATAATAGCAGAAGTTAAGGGCTTCACAGCATTTTGATTGCGATTTAACACTCGCACCAACTCTCAGGACTCACACACTCTGAGAACACGTCGCCTTAAATGTCATCATCAACTGTAAAACAGTACAATGTGAAAAGGTTATGCAACTTCCTGTTTAAAACTGCTGAGGTCGTTCCCAACACAGAGGACCCTTGTGTAGTCAAATAAAAGAGCAGGGGAATAAACATCGACAGTAATACCACTAGCTGACATGAGAATTTACAGTGTATTTGTATTTGCAATAATAGTGGATTATGACGAGATTAGTTATGACTAAATTATAATTGACAGGGACTTTACCCAGTGATTGTCTCAGTGTTCTGTAGATGGGAGAGTCCTGATCTGATCATACCGAGAGGTGCAAGACAAGCAGTCTTCCTGCTCCACGGTGTCTCAACCACTAACAAATAATACCAGAAGTACCCCGTATTCAGAGCGGCCCGATTCTCCAGGTGGCCATGTATTTCATTGCAGGTCTTACCCGAGGCCGCATGTGGCTTTGCTGTTATTCTCTGGAGGTCTGTCTTCTTGTTGGGGTCCTTGTCATTTGGGATGTCTGGACAGGAAATCACAGCCGGGTTCTGCTCAGTCACATTCTTTTCCGATTGGCTCTGCTTGAGCTGTCTCCGCCTCTTCAGCCTGATGGGACGCCAGAGAGACGGTCATATATATATTAAATGTAGGCAAAATTAAGAAACATGAGTTTAAAAGACTTATGCCATGACAACTTTTACAGGTTGGGCTAATACACTTCATGTATGAACATGTGTACAGGCCGCGGATGGATCACCGAACGGGCCTAGCGGGCACGGGCCCAGGGGCGCGGGCCAAGGGGCGCACAACTTCACGAGGCCCCCCCGGCCTTTACCTATAACATCCCAACCAGGAAGAGACTCAAAGAAACATAAAACAACTACAAAGATACACAAAAAGACCAAAACATCTCAACATCAAAGAGATGCAAAACAGACACAACAATTAAGAAAAGGGGAAAAATGACTACAAATAGACAAAAAGCAAATACAAAGAGACTCATAACGAGAAATAAATGGGCAAAACAACTGCAGACACAAAATGACTACAGAAAGACACAAAACATTCACAAAAAGAAGATACAGTCTGTGTGTCTTGCTGCTATGTAGGAGAGGTGCCGGGGCCTTTTGCATGTCTATTCTCAGGGGCCCATTGTCTCATAATTTGCCAAATGCATAATTAAAAGGCATATAATTATTATTATTATTATTATTACCATTTCAATGCTTTAATTGATGACATTTTCATAATTAAATATCAACTTGTAATTTTTCACCATGCTTGTTTGTTGTAAAATACTTCTGTTGTGAATTAAGACCTTCTGTCCAGTTGCTTTTGTGCTCAAAGTTACTGGATTGATCTTTAACTTCTCTCTCTTTACTTTGCCGTGTCAGCTGTATTTTCATCTCAGGCTGAACCTTTACCCCTATTAAATCATTGATAGTTGAGGCAATGATGTAATGGCATATCTAGGCCCTGTTGAGGTTCATTAAGGGGGAACTACAGTGCAGAGGATCCAGGGGTTAGCGGTGCACTTAAGGATAGTGCTGACCCGGTGAGCCCCAAAGAAACCTTAAGTGTTGTTTGAGTTTGTTAAGAAAAGATAAGACCACATTGATTTATCATAATCGTTGAGTGATAGGGACGGTGCAGCCCTGCGAAGCCCCGGGTAAAGGAAGAATAAAAGAAAAACGTGAGGAGAAGTGTTTTTAAGTGTTCAAGTGCTTTAATGGAAAGGCAAGAGTAGGTCGATAAGGCTGCGGACAGACACGGTTCAGGCCTCGCCCACAGCCTCAGGTCTCTCTCCCACTTTAACTGAGCAGCACACATCTGGTAGTGATGAACTCAAGAATCTGCACGCACAGTCTCAGCAGCACAGCTTGTTTCACTTTGGGTCAGGCGCAGAGCATCTCTCAAGCCTTCATCTTAAGATTTTTCCCTTTCTCTGTAAGCAGTGCATCCAGAACTAACATAATGACGGAGAAAGTGAAAAGTTCAAAAACAAAAACATAACTAATTACATAAATAATCACACCACTCAAGTCAAAAGGCACACATGGCAGCAAGAATCTTTTCGTTTTGTAATATGAATGTTTGTTTACATGATTTGAGATAATTATTGTTCTTTTGGTTTACCCGTCATTCAAATTGTCGATGTTTCGTATATGTGTGCAGTTTTGATACAATCTTATTGTTGGATGCAATGTTGATGTAACTTTATTGTTGTTGTATGAAAAAAATTGTACGGACATTGTTGACCATATGTATTTGCTTTGAATATGGACCGAAGGCAACAACTACTGTGAATTCCCCAAAAATAATCGACGTTAAACAACTTGGACAACACTGCATTAATATAGTTGTTTTCAGGTCAAATTTGACTTTGACATTATGTGTGTTGTCGTTTTGCTAAATCAAAGTTCTCAAGCAGACACGAGCAGGTTTTCCTCCAGGATATTTCTGTAATGCAATGTCTCACTTTACTCACAACTTTCTTGCAGCGAAGAGGCATCCCAGAATCGTGATGCTACCCTGGTAAAATCCCTCAGACTACCGTTACTTAATGTGCAGTGTCTCTCTACCTCAGCCATGGTGCTCTGGAGCTCCTTGAGCCTCTTGGTGGCCTTAATCAACAGTGTTTGTGCACAGCCTGCTCTGAGCTCATTTGCAGCATTTTGTATACCTGAACTGATTGTACTTACTGTATTTACAGCACCTTTGAATTCTAAGTAAAACTTGCTGCACATGTATTTGGGATATCATATGGCATATTGTGCCATGTCATATTAAAGGAGTGATACTTGGATGCATTTATTTTGTAGTTCTATGATTGATATTTGAATATATTTTTCACTTTTTAACATTGGAGTGTATTTTTTAAATGTTGTTCAGCGTCAAAAAATACTTTCACTTTTGAAAAACAATAACAACATGGAAAATTCAATGTGGAGCACACGCATGCCAATGTTACTCCACATTGACCTTTTCTTCCATTCGTCAGGAAGCGAGGCAGCATAGTACAACGAGCAGGAGAGTGCTACAGCAGTAGCTGTTGTTCAGAGATAAGACGGATTTTCCTTCCTGACATGTTGTCTCTGTCTCTTTGTGTTCTGGCTATTGGTCCGTTACAGTCGTAGAGGCCTACACGAGTCTCACTTAATCACCTCTCACCATTCTACTGTTGTTCTGCTGCTCCCTCCTGCAGGCACGCACACCGCCTTTGCAGGAAAACACCACCGATTCAGCCCAAAGCCTGCAATCCCTTTAAGATCTAATGCACACTGCTTGTCAAATAATTAGAGAGCGACTGAGATGTGATGCCTTTTAAAAAAATATAAATAATAATGTAATATTTCCAACATAAGCCAATCCAATCAATAAAACACAAGACACATTGCAGGTTTGTCAGCACAGCCTGAACAAGTAACCCAAGACAAGAAAGAATAAAGGCCATTAGGCTACACCGCATTACCTCACATCATTTATCACAAGCCTACACTCAACAACTCCAATATTGACAGCACTCACTAGACGACTTCTGCTCCTCCATCGATCAACTTGTTTATCCATTTTGTAAAGGTTACCTTTGGCCTTCTGAGCAACAGTTTGTCAAGACAAATAAGTTATGTCTACGTCTGTCACGCTATGATATACTGTTGATGTAGAACCGGCAGGAGGGATGGAATAAAGCAAGCAGAACGAGAACTTGAAGTGTATTTTAAGGATATTTAGACACATTCAAGCCATATTACCGTACAGTGAGTGCACACCATTTACATTATTCACTCAGCTCTCTAAGAATAAACACCTGGCAGGAGTTGTTAATTAGTGGATCGTTCTATGTTACGTCTCATCCGCGTGGACGTCACACAGAAAGCGCTGATCTTTGTCCACAACTCGTCGATTCCTTGTCATTTCTACGCACCGTAGCTGTGACAAGGCTCTTGCCACACATTTCCTGCTATCCGGTTCCACAACGCTGCCAAAATCCAATTTTACAGTCAACATCATCCCCGTGGATCAAGAGGCTCTGACGCACGACTCGGATTATATGAGGCTGTATTGGCTGGGTGCAGCTCAGACACAGGTGACTTAACAGCGCCAATACATGAATGGAAAAAGGGTGCGAATTGTTAATTAGTGAATTCACCTTTATGGCAGATTGTCAAAGTACAGACGACAGTGCAGCACGATGGAAACGCCAAGATGTCCGACTAAGAAGATTCTGACTTTACACTCAAGCATATGATACCTGGACTGAGTTACACAGATAAGAGCAAACACACGTACTGTGCACTTTTGTAACCAAATCTGGTCAATCTGTCATTTTTTTCTCTCCTGTTAAGTTTTTTTAAAAATAGCTTTTCTTTTATTCTAATCAAAAGGTCAAAGGGTAGATGTTGTATACATATGTAAAGCCATCCGAGGCAAACGTGTGATTCTTAAACAAAATGGACACAACTAAACCTACATGGCATCTTAAAGAGAGAGAGGGAAAAAAGGTGAATATCTATACTCATTTAATGGAAAATGCAATGTACCACCTTAAAATGAAAGCAATCTGTCATAAGCACAAGAAACATGCTGAATGTTGGAGCTTAACAATACTTTTGCTGCATGAAAAAAATACCTCGAAAGCCAAAACAAAAAGGCACACAAAGAGTCGCTTACCTGGCAAAATATCCCGGCTTCCTGTCTCTCTTCTCCATCAGGCCTGGGTCCTAAATCTGCATGCAGTCAAGCGCATCAATACAAACATCCACCCTTTACACACCCACTCCGTGTGTGTCCAAGCCAGCGGATTTGGGGAAGATCACCTCTCGCGCTTCTTCCTTGTCCTGCAGAACGAAATGAGCGAGGGGATTAGCAGGCCCGCCCTCCTCACTCAACAACATTCAATTCAATGTAAAAAAAAAAAAAAAGGCCAATAACTGCTGGTGAAGGCTAATCAGCCTAAAAGGGGAAGGGCGATGAAAAGCATCATAAGAAGCATGACAATGGCTGACCAACAGGATGGGAATTAAGGAAAAACACATCTGCTACTAGTTCATGTTTCCACAGCAAACCCGCGTTTTATTGTACAACCATGCTTCATTACATATTACATATTATTCTATAATCAGCTGCATCTGTTTGGAAGTCCCGTTGACGTAAACACGCAGACCGTCATGGCTCCACCACCTCACAGCTAGCTGCAGCAGGATTAACGCTGAACAAAAACAAGCTACTACACGCATGTCGCACGTCCCTTAAGAAGAGAAATCAGGCAGCTGCAGTTCATCCATGTGTCGCGTTCAAATGTTATATAAAAAGGTAAATGGGTAACCTCAAGAGGAATGGCTACATTTTCAGCAACGTTGCCCCACCTAACGTTACATTCTTCGTTTTAGCAACTCAATTAAATCCTCTGACTCGGACCTTGAGGTGCAGCGGTAACAACAGACAGATAGCAGTACTGTTATATCAATATGTTCCACTGCGCAAGGCTTAAGCAAACACAGGCACAGTGAACAAGGTCCAGATTTCCAAGTGATTTAACAGCTCTCGCTAACTAGCTAGCCACTTTGTTTACAGGACAATAGCAACCTGGTGGAGATGGTAATGCTATTTTGTTCGGTTTCAGCTGTTCTCTTAAAACGACGTTATCTTCTTCCTGTTCGTGTAATCTGGACTGACGCGGACGCGCAACACTGATGTACAACGTACGCATTCAAAACGCTACATCTGACAGAAAATAGGTGGCTACATTTGCCCACTTACCTTGCGTGCATCCTCCAACAGCTAATGTTGTATCAAAATGAAGCTCCCCTGCACGGCGCCCTCTGCTGTCATGTGTAATGTAAAAACATGAGCCCACCACCAGTCTTTACCATAGACCGTGTACAAGCTAATTAACGTTAGCCAAAGCTAATTTCAGGTGAAGGTTAGTTGGAGATTTGATTGTTGGTGGGTATTGCACTACCAGATGTAGAAAACCAATCACAAATATGCAATGGCACATTATATTAAATATCTGACCGCAGGGTGGCGCTATCAGTCCCTGGTGGTCTAGTGGTTAGGATTCGGCGCTCTCACCGCCGCGGCCCGGGTTCGATTCCCGGTCAGGGAACTACTTTTTTCCGCTAGCTAGCCAAAATTCATTTGCGCCTTTATACTGTTAAGCGGAGCTAAACTGACCGGTTTTATATTAATACGCCACAGCTGGACCACTACGTGTGCAATCCGTTGCCACACGCAGAGAGCTGTATTACAGGTCAATCAACCAACTCAAGTTGGTTTAATTTATATGGTCCAATAACGCAGATCCCAAATTTGCAGCAAGGGGTTAGCGTACTGTACCTCACACGATGCCATCCATCTGTTTCACACACACACACACACACACACACACACACACACACACACACACACGGTATTATTGCATGACCTCTTGGACTGTCCCAACTCAGAGCTCTTGACTTTGCCACCACCTGACCGACTCCTAATTCTACCGCTTGGTGGCGACAGTTCACAACAAATGCTACTAGAAACAAGGGTCTCAATATGTGAAAGAAGTCATATTCTATTAAGTACAACAGTCCGCAGCCTACATAAAATATATTTCATATTAAAACAGCCTCCACCATAAGAACCCTTTAACAAATATTGGCTTTTTAAAATTTCTCTTTACAAGTTAAAAAGAACAAAAAGAACAACAACATTCAAAACTGTCTGTGTTGATTCAGTAAAGAGTAACGAGAGTAAAGCATTTTATACTGAGAAGACTCAGGTGAGGGAACAATTATTAGATGTCTTTTACATTTGTTTTGTATCATGTTTTCAGTTTGCACATGGACCCCAACTAATATATATATATATATATATATATATATATATACACGTATATATATAAATATATAAAATCTAATAATATATCTCAAATATAATTAAGATATAAATATAATGTAGTGATAATTCCCACTCACTCCTTTCATGAAAGCTTAGTTGAAGTGAACAATGAGATAATGTGTGTTTGTGGAGCTTGGGTCCCAGAGAGCCCTCTTAGGTGGGACAGACAGAGACCCCCGCTGCAGGCCCTCTCATTGGACAAGGCCGGAGTTAACCAGTTCCTGGCTGGCTATGTATCTTTGCAGTTATTTTGACAGGCGTTATCATTGTGAGAGAGGAGATAAGTTGTCTTAGGGATCGCCATGGCGCCGGTGTGTCCCTCCTCCGTCCTGCTCAGACTCCCATCGACCCCTCTCCACCCCCTCCTCTCTCCCTACCCTGCATGGAGCAAAGGATTGTGGGGGACTGTTTGGTTGGGAGCAGGGTTTTTGTTGGCAGGGACCCCGTGGCTCTGGGTATCATCGTCCCCCTTTAGGACCACCAAATCGTCATTTGACTCAGCAAATGAACCGCCATGTCCAACTCCCAAACGTCGCCATCCACATTCTATTAAATGTTCTCTCTTACTCTTTGCTCCTTTCCCTTATTTCTGATATTTTTCTTCAAGTTGTGTATTGCAAGGTTATTCTTCTCCTTCCTGGACACACAGACATGGCTTCGAAAGCTCAAAGATAAAAAAAAAAAGGAAGTCACGCTAAGGCAGACGGAGTAGCACAGTTTAGCTGAATTTAAAGCACTACAAAAAGCCAGGGATGAGCTCTAAACTTTTGACTCTTTAATGTGTAATATTTTCAAGATGTTGCTCAGACAGGGGCTGTAAAAATAATCGTCTAAGTCCACATCAAACCAACAGCATACCTGGTCTCTCTGTCATATGAGATCTGGACAGTACTCATTTTAGCCACTGATATTAAAATCTTTACGGCACTGTCCCGTCAGGGCCCACAAGCAGCTTGGTAGCATTACAGCGTCTGCTTTTTTGTGTTAATATTACTGCTACACACACACACACACACACACACACACACACACACACACACAAAAGAAAATATGAAGCACATTTTCAGGCCATAAAGCTTCATGTTTGTATTTGTGCCACTGAGATGGCATATGTGTTATTGTTTATGCCTAATAGTGTCATATCCAGTACACATTTAGATATTATCTCATCTTATTTGTGTCTGCTGTTGCAATAGGAGACCTAAACAGTCAGAGTGACTTTCATCCAGTGCCTTGCTTTGCCATGTCAGCGCACGTAAAGAGACTATCTTGCTTGTATCTTTTAGAACTGTTGTGATCACAGCGGTCTGACCCAGCACAGGCCTTGGAGAGATTTGAAATCATTTTACTCAGACGTCATACACTTCTAGCTTAGACTACAACCACTGATAACTTCAAGTACACTGTGGCAGCAGGAAGCTGCAAAACCTAAACATTGAAAAAGGATATGTCACACAAACGATAATTGATAGGAATTATGGGAGCCGTAATTCCCTTCTATAAATCAAACCTGTGGGAAAAAAAATGCAGATTTGCAGTTTTTCTATCTGTGTCTTTATAGGAAGACGATTTTTGAGCAGTAAACCAATTAGGAGAAGAAATCTGTGAGAGAGAGCTGTTCCCCTCGAGGATTGAGAGCCCCACTTAAGAATCGGTGACAGATGTAACTACACAGCTAAGTGAATCAACTGACAAAGCTAACGTAATCCCTGTTTAGGGTGAAGAGTGTAAGAAGTAATGGGTCAACACAGCTGACATGACAAATGATTAAAACGCTGTTTAATATCAAATATACAGTATCAAATATTTTTTATTATATTTCACATAAACAACACAATATACATTAAATTACAAAACCATATTCTAATAACTCAATGATCAAATAACAGAGTTGCTAACAGATGTTTAATAGCAACCGATTTAAGGTTACAGAAGTCTCCGCTAGAACACATTCTCACGGCAGGTCCTGAAATAGTCACACAATTGTAATCTTTTGATTCATGTCAGCAACACTTATTTTCAAAAGAAAATTGTGTCGCTCATCACAACTTTCAAACTATTTTGGAATTTTCTTTAGTGCCTTCTCTGCGTTTTTGTTTTTTATGATGGTTGAGACAACATTACGCCACAAAACAAAGGTTAGGTTTAAGTAACAAAACCACTTAGGTTTAGGGAAAAAACGCCACAAACGCGTCACCTAACAATACAATGAGGTAGTAAAATGTCAAATAGAACCCAAACCACAATTGTATGTTGTTTTTTTTTTTGCAAACTAGTCCGCTTTAGAGGTGATGGTAGGCACATTTCTTTTGGCAGAGCCAGGTTAGCTGTTTCCCCTCTGTTTCTAGTCTTTGTGCTAAGCTAAGCTAATTGACTGTTGATTATAGCTTCATATCTACCAGACACGATTATGATACTCTCATCAAATTTTTGGCAAAAAAGTGACTGAAACTAAGCAGCAGTTACTAAGAACTCAGATATTTAAAAAACTTGTATATGACGCATCACAAGCTACAACCGTCTAGATGTGATGGAGACACATTTATCACTCCCTTGGTGGTCTATGAGAGTCCAGAGTAAGTGAAAGACCACCTTCTAGGTTACCATGAGGTTAATGACCCCCCCCCCCCACACACACACACTGGCTACTTGCACCAGTCATTTAACAAGGACAGAGAGGGGAATGAAAGTGATGGAGACATGGCATGAAACAGCTCCATACTGTATACCATCCAGTGCCACTACACCCACTGTCAATCTGCCAAGTCAGCTGAGGCACTGCAGCCATGATCTTTGACCCAGGAACTACACGGTGGGGGAAAGGTTATCAATGTCGGGGTTTTCGTTCTCGAAGTTAAACGTCCAGACGGTGCAGGAGCCACACCTCGAGGAAGGAGCAGACGGTGTAGGAAACCTAAAGGAGAGATGGATATTAAGCACTACATCACCCTCTCAAACGCACTTCTCACACAGACACACACACACACACACACACGCTCATCAGTGTTTTTGATCACATGACCATGGTAGGGGAGCAAACAGTGCATGGTTGTTTAACCTCCTTATCAGTGGTGTTGTAACAAGTAGAGGAACACAGGCTGACCTCCACACACGCACACAAACAAGAAACCTCACCAAAGCTCTGAAAATCGAACACTAAAAAGACGTATGTTCATTTTCTGAATTGTATAACCTTACTTGACGTTCCACAGTTCATCCTAACAGAGGTCTATCTGACACGTAGGGAAGCCATGATAATGAGTACAGATCATGACCTATTAGCTAACATTTCTAATAAATCTCCTTCTGCAGCCCTTAACTCTTCTCTGATCTCATCTGCCATAAAAAGAGAGGCTCGTTCTGTACAGTAACCATCTCTTTCCAGAAGAAAAAGCACATGAAAACTTTGAGCCCCAGCAAACATACCTGTATGAATTATGACTGTGGCTGCTCATTTATGATTGTGCGATAAGTCAACATTTCATGTACAGTGTATGTATTCCTTTGAGAGGCAAAGGATATAAGGGGCTATGTTGAAGGTAACTTGGAGTGTGTGCTTACTGAGTGTTTACATGTGTATGCCTTTTGATGTGTGCGTGTTCTAGCGTGTGTGTGCGCTCATACATGCACTCCCACTCTCACACTCAGACTCTCGTTAGACCAAGCCAGCGCCACATCAGTCCATCATCACAGATATGGCTTGTGGTGAGATAGCAGGTCTGGCGGCGCACAAGACATTTTGTCCACTCTGTCATGTTTACTTATAATGATAAGCTTTGATGGATTCCCCCGCAAGCTATAGACGCCACGGTGCACACACGCACACGCTCACCGATTCACACGTGCACA